TGCATTCGATCTACATTTCTTAACTTACAAACCTTCTGCAATGATACTTAATGATTCACTTCTTTTCTACAGTGATTCAACAATTTCCGAGCTAAATCCAATCTTTTCAAAATTGGTTTAAAATTTTTAGAAGGGAGACCAAATCAGAAACGATTCAGGAAATTCCTAACTGAGGAGACACTTTTCAAAGCAGATTCAAAACTGAGTCTGAACTTTTTTGAAGTGAGTTCAAACTTTCGAATAAGTCATCAATATTTTTTTTCTAACTGAGTCTAAACATTTATTTTATGTTATTCAATCCTTTTTAAAGTTGTCAAAACTTTCCTGAAGTGATTCAACATATTTCAAATCCAATCTTTAAAGAATTGGTTTCGCATTTTTTGAAGTGAGGTAACATTAGCTGATTAATCCTTTTCCTAAATGAATCCAAGGTTTCCTGCATTGATTTAACTTTTTCCGAACCGAAACCAAACTAGTCAGAACGGGTTTGATATTTTCCAGATTTTTGTTAACTGCTTTGGCGTTTGGCAAGGACACAATCTTGCAATCTTTTCCGAAGTGAACCGACAATTTTTTGAGCTTAAATTTTCCAAATGGTCTCCAACCTTTTCTGAAGTGGTTCAAAACCTTTCTTAGGGAGTCCAAAATGTTCTGTTGAGTGATTGAATTATATTGAATGTTAGTCTGAGCTTTCCTGAAGTGATTTAACTAGCTTTTAACGTAGATTCCACTTCCTTAGATCCCTTCCTCGTTTTTGTGAGATTCACATCCTTTGAAAATTAGGCTGAGATTTTAAAGAATGGACCTTCGTGTGTTCATACCTGATGGTAGATTTTTTTTTAAAGCAAGCACAATTGTTGAGAAAACTGGGTTTACATTCACAAAAGTACGCATTTTTATAGAAATTTGGGTTTCTTGATCAGCCACGTTGGATTTTGGCTCCGTCCTTTGAAAAACAACCTTGGATGTTAGCATTTCCAACCAACTCTGAAAACCTTGGATGTTATGGAATAGATCTTTGTGAGTTCATACGTGATGGTAGATTTTTTTAAAGCTAGGTTGGATTTCAGTTCAATCTTTTGAAATTTGTGCTTGAATTTTATAGAATGGAACTTGCTGAATACCGGAAGGACGAACCTGGTTAATATTCACAAAAGAAGGTATTTTTATAGTAAATTAACTTTTCTGTTTTCCGAACTGAATTTTGGCTTCTATCTTTGAAAAATATGCTTGTATTTTAATAGAAGTTGCTGAATCCATACGTGAGGGTTAACGGTGCCGGTGGTGTAGTGGTAAGCGTGATTACCTCTCACCCCAGCAGGCCTGGGTTCAATCCCAGTCGGCGCCGCCGGGATGTTCTGAGGCATAACATCTCTGATCACGCCTTCCTTCGGATGGGAAGTAAAGTCGTTGGTCCCCGGTTCATGAGTTGATGGGTCGATAGGTAGGGTCCAGGTGTGGGAGCTGCCTTCCTGGCACGTCGGTAGCATTGGTGCTCAGCACGGAAAACAAGATCGACGAAAAAAACAAACCAAAGGAAAAAAAAAAATACGTGAGGGTTGAATTTCTTCAAATTTTGAGAATACCGAGTTTAAATTCACAAAAGTACGTATTTTCATAAAAACTTTGATTTTCTGTTCTGCCAAGTTGAATTTCGAGCATCGAGTGACAAAAGAAAAACTTGTGATTTGTTCCGGCCCAAGTGGGTACTTTCAAGCTAGTTAGTGTGTTTGGGTACTTATGGTTTATGCCTGCTTATCAACTTAATAAACTCAACTCTATTAACTGTGATGCCACATCACTGAACAGAAGCATCCACATACTAAGCGTTCTCAATTGTTCGGGATGTAGTACCGATGAAGCAAAGACGCCGCTTTTTCGGGAGAAGACAGCCTTGGTGGAACAACGAGCTGCAGCATCTACGTAATCGTCTTCGCAAGGCCAGGAAACGTTACTTTCTTTCGAGGGACAAACAGCACAAAGCTGAGCTGCGTGTATTGTAGAGCGATTATAGCTCTTTGCTTGCGCGATGCTTCAGCAGCTACATTCATCGCACGGAAGAAAACATCCAAATCGATCCTAAATCGTTTTGGTCGTTCATGAGAAGTCGGAAGCAGACGGATGCAATTCCTCCTCATGTTTTTTATAACGAGTTTACGGCCGAAACCCCGCTTGATTCGGCAAATTTGTTCTCGTCATTCTTTCGGGGTGTGCTAAGTAATAACCGATCACCTCCTTCTGAAGTGTACTTGGACAGTTTGCCTCGGTATGATTTGAACGTAGCGCTTCTCGACTTTTCTCCGGAAAATGTGCTGAGCAAACTCCAAGGGATAGACGAATCTAAAGGCGCCGGACCAGATCGTCTCTCACCACTGTTTATCAAGAACTGCGCCGTTTCGCTTTCTGTTCCCGCCACAATTCTTTTTAATCGTTCTATGGCGGAAGGCGTTTTTCCGAGTGCTTGGAAAACTGCTGCCATTACTCCCATACATAAAGCTGGTAGTATCCACAACGTAGAGAACTACCGTGGCATATCAATTTTGAGCTGCTTGCCAAAAATTTTTGAAAGCCTCGTCTTCGATTCGTTTTATCCACACGTTCATCATATTATTTCCGAATTCCAGCACGGATTCGTGAAAAAACGCTTTACCACTACCAACCTGATGGCATATGTTTCCTCGTTGGTCAACGCACTGGAAATGAGACAACAAATCGATGCCGTCTATATCGACTTCTCTAAAGCGTTCGATAGAGTGCCGCATTCTTTGGCGGCGGACAAATTAGACAGAATGGGCCTCCCGAGCAAAGTTAGAGATCAAATTGAAATCAGAATTTACTGTTATGATGTAACTTAATTTGAATACTCCATTTGATCTCACTTTGGTTGACTTAACGGTTAACACAGCAAAAATGAGAGCAAAATTTTACACTGTTGAATCAAACGGAAAACTAATTCTGCTTTCAATGAAATCAATTTGATTACTGATTTTGCATTCATAATGTTTGACTGAATACGGGCCTGTCGTAAATGCTTAGCATCCATGCTTCTCACGCTGAATGATTTGAGCTCAAATGTCACCTCGGGCTAGTCACGAATGACCTAAAATGTGTTAAACAAAACAAATAAACAATAATCGTTAGTTCAACGACAGATGAACTAAAATCAAATTTTAAACAAGAAATTAACAGCAGAACTTCAAGTTAAGTTGCTTTGATTTAAAAAGTCTTGACTGCATAATGATAGCACAATATCACAGAACAGAAGGAGAAGTGCAAACAAATCGGTGAATCAAAAAGTGTTCGTTTTTCTGCTCAACAAGCGATGTGTTGTGGTAGCGTTCCACACGGGCTTTCTATGTGCACTCACACTATCATAGCATGCTGCCTATCTTAACTGCAGGCAGAAGATGCCTTCTACCGCTAGGTGCGCTAGTGTTCGCAAATGACAAGTGGAGCTACTTTCTGATCCGAAGTTCCACTCCTGTGACAATATGATATCAGACTTCTGTCGCGACAATTGAAATCAAAATGAGTTTTCATTATGATAGGAACTGCAAACTTTAATATCGATTTGCTTTCATTTTGTTAACCGACTTTGCTCGGGCTACCCACCTGGTTGACTCGCTGGATATTTTCCTACCTAACTGAGCGCAGTGCCTACGTTCGCCTTGATGGAACGAGCTCTGACCCATTCGATATCACATCTGGTGTGCCTCAAGGGAGCCATTTGGGCCCACTTCTTTTTGTGCTATTCGTCAATGATCTTTGCGAAACGATTAAATCACCGAAGGTAATGTTTACCGATGATTTGAAGTTCTTTCGGGTAGTTTCATCGTTAGTTGATTGCTGTGCCATACAAGCTGACATCGACGCGTTACTACACTGGTGCAGGCTAAACGGAATGGATGTAAATGCCCGACAATGTAATGTAGGGGAATTTACGTATTCTCGTCAATCTAAGCAGCGTCCGCACTTCTATTAGCATTTTTTCAGCGTCACGCACATATATGACGTGTCTGTTTGTTAAAATTCATCTGCTGCTTGCTTCTCTATCCATTCCAATCGACAGAATTTTTCAAAACGGGTTGAAAGCGTTTTTACAACGCTCCAAACTTCTCAGGTGAGTGTGACTATTGTCGGCAGCCTCTTTTTCTTCGGCAACCTTCCCATTAGAACTGCATGTTAACCAGCTGTTCTATTATCGGCAACTCGAAATCAGCCCCTTTTTGCAGTGCGTATGCTTCATTTGAAGATAAATCTGGCATAATAGGATTGCTCGGTCGTACAAATATAATCAGATTGAGGCTGAAAGACTAAAGAATCGTTTGGATACATTCAGGGAAGTGTGTTGATGGGAAATCATAGTGAAATTATCGTTTAAATTGTGGTTGCCGAAAACAGTCAATGGGTGCCGAAGCCGACATTTACCCTATGTAATTTCTTTCTATCGAACAAGGATGGCGACCATTTTCGATTATAGAATATTCACAACTAGTATCGACAGAGTAAGCACTGTTAAAGATCTGGGTGTGCTACTTGACAGTAAGCTGAAGTTTACCCAACACATAGCTGCAACGACCGCCAAGGCGTACGCAGTGCTTGGATTCATCAAACGAAACACGCAGCAGTTTGAAGACATTCATTGCTTGAAAAGTCTCTACTGCGCGCTGGTACGCAGCATACTTGAATATGGAGTGCTGGTGTGGGCGCCATACCATGTCGTTCAGATTAACCGGATCGAGCGTATTCAAAGGAACTTTCTTCGATTTGCACTTCGTTTACTTCCGTGGAATGATCCGGTTCGATTACCACCCTACGAGCATCGCTGCGCCTTGATACATCTACCGACCTTGGCTAGTAGGAGGATTCTGTTGCAGCGGCTTTTTATATTCGACATCCTGAAGAGCAACGTAAACTGCTCAGTACTGCTAAGCAATATAAATGTAAATATTCCAAAATAAAATAAAATAAATAAAAAATAAAGTAGTGCCAATGTACATTTATTTCCTGTGATGCAAAGAAAGCTTCTTGCGCAAATTTATCTTCCATCTATAAACCAAACTGGCCATACGTGATCGGGATATCTCCAACAAAAAAATCAACGATGCAGTGCCCAAACCAACCGCCAGAATCATGTAAGCGCCGAGAAAGTGCGAAATCGTAAGCTTTACAGCGCCATCTTCCGATCCAGCCGAGCGGGCGTTCAGAATGTTCAACTGAATCGTTCCGTGCAAATAGCGATTGGCGGCCTATCATGATATTAGAGGCACTTAGAATTCGTTAATAATGATGCATTTCGTAATTACCTGTAGCTCCCAGTATTTTTGTATACCGGACTGCTTGACCTGCATGATCAGATCGTTGAACTTTTGCTTGAACGGACAAGTCTTGGTAACCATCGCGGCTACACTTCCCCAGTAGAGATCGTCCTTCAGCAGTTGCAGCATGGTGGATGCCTCACTATCAACGAAGTCTGCCGGTACGAAATGTTGGAACTCGGTACGCTCACCACCAAATCCCATATCATGAGTCTTGGCGTGTTCATTCAAGAACTTGTCACTTACAACGCGGTATGAAGTGACCAATTTTTTCATGTGAGGCTACGGATTAGGATGTTATTGCATAGCATAAATTGAAATCCTGTTTGCGTTATGAGCTCACCTGTGGTGCTGCAAGAATTGCGAATATCCACGGTAGAGCAGTGGCTCCCCACATCATTCCACTATTGGCCAAATCCACGGTCGTATCGATTGATTTCTCGTACTGTGGAATGGTCATGATACCAGCCAAGCCACCGCCGTAGCTGTTGCCGACCATAAAACCGGCAAACAGTAGTGAGGTGAACAGCAGAATGCATGACATCAGATCGGTCTGCATTCGAGCACTTTGCCCCATGTAGAAACCGATCATCATCAACGCTGAGTCACTGAACGTGACCGGCAGTTCATCTGGTTGCAAAATACTCAAGCGAACCTTTTCGATCAACCATACGGCCAAAATGCCAACGCAGAATGCTACGAGTACTGCGGTCCACAGTGACAAGGTGAAGGAAAGGAACGGTGTTCGCCATGGTGGTAGAATACGAGGTTTTGGGACCAAGACTGTAACTCCTGATCGACTTATTGGTTGAGTGTACGTAGCAAACTTGTACGGTTCTAGCCTTTTGATAAATGAATGTGCTTTTAGAGGGATTCAGTAGTGAGAATTCAGTGAAACTTACCAGTAGTAGATAGCTGCCACAGCAATATCAGCGCGACGTTCGACGACTGAGCCGACTAGACCATTCCCCGTATGGTTATCGTAGACTTCACCCCACTGGAAAATCTCGTCTATCGAGAACGAAAACCATAAACTTCATTTATGAGCTTGCTCAGTAAATAGTGCACTTACCAAAAGTGGCTTCAACATTGCAGTTATATTTGCGGCAAAACTCTACAATCAGGGAAACCTCTGTTCCATCTAGGAAAAGAGGGATATCCTCTTTGAATGATGCCACGTATCGAGCGTTGGCTTTCTCCGGTACCTTTAATGAACACATCCAACAATCAGCTATTCAGTGTAACCTTCCGGAATGTTAAAGAACTCACCGTTTCTTCGTAATACGAATACGGTGGATACATCAGCGTACACAGATGAATCGGAATACCGTTCATGTCGCTGAACTTATCCGGAAAGTAATCGGGATCATAGACAGGTTTGATCTCCACAGTTACGGTGCTCCTCGTTCCATTGTTGGATAGTTTCGTGGTATAGAGAGCGATGGAATTATTCACTCGGTCCGCAATCGCAATCAACACGTTCGGTAACTCCACCGTATTCCGGTGCTTCACAATGCTATCCAGAAACGATTGATCATACGAGTCCATCAGAATCATCAGTCTCTTGTTGGCTGATCGTTGATCCGAGATATCGTGAATCTCGACAAACGCATCCAGGAATGTGAACAATGCCCGTTCGGATACTATGAATGCTTGACAACCGTCGTCGACGGCGGTTTGGAGAGTTTCATTGAAGTTCGTATCGACTGTAATGACCACCGATGGGACTGGCACGTTGAGTAGGATGTTATCAGGCGAGTTTTTAATGACACATACGGTGTAGAATTCGGAGAAATAGCTTATAGCGATAAAGTTCACCAAGGATATGAGTGAAGCGCTCAGAAGATGGCTGGTGCTATCGATTCTTAGAGGATACATTGTGGAATGAGTAACCATGGAATGGGAGCATGCATGTTACTAATGTTTTCTTGTAACGCACATTTAATGTTATTGACTGTGTGACCATATGCATATGCAGGACTTGTTGTTGGGTATTATGAATTATAAATTGGATCATTACGCGAAAATTGTGGGAAGAGGTATGTATAGAGATTACTAAAGTATGATTGTGTCAGTGATTTGTTTTCATCGGGAAAATTTTCCGCTAAGAAGTTTTTTTCCCGATGATAACATTTTGCGTATACGTATACGTGACGTAGTGTGCGTACGATAAACGTCAGCAATCTCTATATGGAAAAAATTGTGATTTCCAAAGGGAAAAAATGGATATAATAGGTAGATGTTACGTATTTTTATTTTGAAGTGTATTAGACAACATGACATGCTGGTTTGTTGAGACATCTCTATTATGAATCCGGTTGCAAGCAGCGATGGGCTAACTAGATTTAAAAAAGAAATGCCAGCCATGCTAGCTGTGAGGTCTCTTCACAGCAAATGTGGCTAGTTAAGTTCCGGTGAATGTGAACGTGAAAAAACTTTTTTTTTGTTTGTAACTCATTAATACCATAGAGGTAGCTCTAAGATCAGAAGGTCCTGAAGAAATGAGCTAAACTTTTTAGCTCAGCACTGGTACTCTCTTCGGTCCCAAGCTAATCGATGCACCCCTCGAAACATAAGAAAATCCACAAACCCCTCATTTTGTCTGTCAAACTTTGCTAGCGAAACAAAACAAACATTGAGTAGTAGTAGAATTTTGACTAGAATGGGGTATGTTAATCGATTTGCTTGGGACCAATAGGCTAGTCAAGTAGCAAGCCAATTTAAAACCGTTAGCTTTTACCGGTTGTTAATACTGTGTTATATAGCGAGGAAAACAGTTTTGAATGACAACGAAATACATTTTCTAATCAGTATGTACAAAAAAAAATTGTATTTTAACAACACTAAGTTCTATTAATATTCCATCACATTTTCGAATTCTCTCCGTGAAATTCCGTGGACGACGGTAAATTCACCATTATTCACCGCGAGTGTAAATGCACCGGTGAACGTGAACGATGAACAATGGTGAATTCAAATGTCAAATTAGTTTCCCGCGGCTGTTCACGTTCAATTGTTTCAAGCCAGCCTTATAATTATTTCACCGTGAAAAGGTGCAAATTTTGATAACAGATTTATTACAACTGTGTGATGGAGTCTCTGAAAATAATGTGATCCAAGTAGTGGAGATAGAATCGAAGCATGAACCGGCTCCGGCGAAACGTAAGCAGAACATTATTCTCGGAGAAAAAAAAGAAGTCCGGAACTACTTCTGCTTGTGGGATAAAAAGGACAAATTCTACAGAAATCTGGTGAAACGTAATGCTGCATGGGATAACAGCCTAAACAGTGAACGTGCAAGTTTTACCATGTGTGGTAATCTGTACGAGGTAAGAGTTGTTAGACCACTGACATAGGCGCCTATTCGTGGGTGACGAGGCACTTGGTGACATTACAGCGAGCTTGGCGATTGTTATAGCATTTTTGAGTGAACTATCAGACAATCATGACAATGTGATCGCTGCGCCTCCAGATCTCCCGTAAATCTCTTTAATAAAGCTTAAAAAAAACCCCAGATCTCCCTTTAAATCGACCCGCTGTGCCAATTTGTCAATAATGCATGACACTTTGAAAAAATACTTAGGCGTAATTCAACGAAATATTTTGTTGTTATTTAATACGGAATATTTATTTATATTAAAAACAAAAAAAAAAATATTTAAACATAGGGGATATGGTTCTAACATAGAGGTAACTCTAATGCCGTTTTAGTTTGATGAACCAGGTTCGAATCTGGGTTAGTTTCTTCGAAATGTCACTCTCGCGGTGAACTGGGTGAACTGAAATGTTGTGTACATGTGTATGTGTGACTTGAAATAGAAAAGTCAAAAAGGCAATGACTGGCCAAGCAATTGCTCAACAGCAGTTTCCAGCTTAAATATGCACTGGGAATTCCCTTGTTCACTGCGGATTGTGACCGCTGCCTTTTTATATTTTCCAAAATTTATTTGAACGCACGTAAATTACGAAATAATTTATGACCATGAAGGAGACGTAATCCAACAGCATAATTACATATGATTGAGGACAGTAAGTAGCAGAATCACTATTGAAATTGTATATTTCATCTTTGCTCAAAATTGTATGCAGTTTAACAAAACCGCGTTTGTCCCGTACCACATTTAAAAATTGGTAAGACTTGCTGATCGCGCACGGGCGGGATCCCTACGTTGTGTTTATGATCGTTGTGATAGGTACGGAGATGGAAATAAATAAAACACACAGTTTGCTTGACCGTCCTGCCATGGCGGAGGTATTCGAGATACTGTATTGTTTTCTATATTTCTTTGTATAGTAGCTACAGTGGGTGGGGTAGTTGTATATGTAGATGACATTGCACAAACACTTGCGGTGATTCGGAATATTCATAGAACCATTTTCTGGCCACCCAGTAACAGAATCGGTCTGAGGATTGCATGTTATAGCTATGCTCAAGATTCTATGCAATTATTAAAAAAAAAAAATCGTGCATTTCTAGGACGACTTTCAGTAATGGACAGTTTTCCCGGTGATTCTGTATATCTGGGGATCCTTTCTCCGACCACCCAGTAACAGAATCGGTATGAGGATTGCATATTTCATCTATGCTCAATATTCTAAACAATTACAAAAAATATTAATCTCTAGGCTGTCTTTCAAGAATTGACCATACACGGGGTTTTCCGGGAATCTTCAGACCATAAGCCTCTAACTATTTTTCTCGGTCCAACTGTCCAACTACAAGTCCAATCGATTCCCTATCTGTTTCGCTGAAATATTTTTCAATATATTCAGACTGGCTGATTCTTTGTTGTTTACGAATGGTACAACAGCTCAACTGGATCGTCATGTTCACCAGCTGTCACTGTCTGCAAAAATATTTAATAGCAATTACCTGTGTTGTGATACTTCCTTCAATGAAAACAAATTTTCTTGCATTGCCATGGTCATTAGAGTCACCAAGTCCTTCCACCACTGCTATCTGCAGCCCTATCACTCCCATCCCCACGATTGCTGAAGATAATAATAAAATTCTTGATTTTATTTAAAGAAATTAATATTTAGAACATTTGAGTTATCGGGATCCGTATTCGGTTTCCCCATCGGGATCCGTATTCGGTTTCCCCATCGGGATCCGTATTTGGTTTCTCCATCGGGAGTCCTAGTCTCCCTCGAAAATGCTTACTTTGTAGTCATTATTGGGTATTTTGCGGTTACCGTGTACGGAACCCGTCATCGGATTTCCATCGAGGTCCACTTCCACTTTAGTTTTGCTTTTAGTAAACACATTCACTAATCTGCAGAGGTCCGACTTCAAATTCCCCGCCGGGATCCAGCTTCAGACTCCCTACCGGGATTCGGCTTCGGACTGGTGCACTTTCCTAAAAAACATAATTACATTACATTACATTAATTCGAATTAACTAACCTGAAAAACATCGAATCGCCATCAAAACTCGCGACGGACACATTATCGGCACTTTCCCGGGCTAATTCTTCAAAAAACCAAACTTTTCCCACTGCGAAAAAAAACTGTACACGGCCAATGAAATCAACACAGTGTACTCAATATCGAAAAAAGTGCAGGATGAGTAAATTTGCCGCATGTTTTCCTGTGGAAAACCTCAAAAATCTGCCCTAAAATTAGGAAAATTGACGAAAATCCAGAGAATCCAATCTTTATTTTTCTCAAATTCGGAAAATTTTTCCTGGAAAAACCTGGAAAACATGAGGAAAATTAACTGAAAACTTAGTTCCTGCACTTTTTGCGATTTATGAGTGAACTAAACTCAAATTTGGGTCGTTCTCATTTGCCGTGTAGTGCTGACTCAGGACAAAGCAAACTTTGCATGTGGCGAGGGACCGAGGGACCTCGCGAGGGACAACAATTTACATCGTGATGAAGTTTGATTCTAATGTAACGTTAGGTTCTGTTGTCATTGGATGTATTCTGATGTTTTATGCGTGCAACAAATTACATCGTGATGAAGTTTGATTCTAATGTAACGTTAGGTTCAGTTGTCATTGGATGTATTCTGATGTCAAATTTTACATCGTCAAGACGTTTGATTCTGATGTAACGTTTGAGGCTAATGTATTTTATGTACTTGGACGTCACACTGAAGTCTGAATCAGAGCTGGTAAATATCACGGCCGTCATGTGACAATGAGAAAACAGGTCCTCTCACTATCATGAAACGAAGCGACCGATCATTAGCTTTCTTGTCATTTTTCAATGATCAAGCACTCATGAGAATAATTCTTATGCAGTTTTGACATCAACATTTCTAACTGATTTAGATGTATTTAAGCAAATAACCGAGTGAATATATTATTGAGATTTCCTCGGTACAAGTAACTTTAATAGCATTAAATAAGCTAGTAATTACGATGATCACAACACTGTCACGTTCTGTCATGACAAAACATTCGATGAGATTTTGAAGAAAATCTCTATCATCATTTTCTCATCCAATGATAGTGAGAGAAGTATCACTGTAATTATCGCGTGAGATCTTTCATTGAAAATGACATTTGCCAGCCCTGGTCTGAATACATTAAGGGTACAGCAATACACGTTAAAATTTAATGTATTGAAGATATCTGCTGATGTTTCCTACATTTCAATTTCTATTCGGGAAAATACCATAAAGGTAACTTTAAAAATCGTAACTCAAAAACGAAGAAAAGTTCATCGCTGATTTTTTATATGTTGTGTAGAAAAGCCTAAATTTTAAAATAAAAATATACAAACGTGTTACGCCCATTGTCTACAAACCATGAAAACCATAAAAACCAATACAATCAAAGTTCTTCTATACAAAACACCAATTTAAAAAAAAAAAAATCTGAAAAGTATTTTTCAGTAGTGGTTTAAAAGATTTAATTTTAAGGAAAAT